TTAGGGAATGATGTGGGGAGGGTGAGTGGTGTTGGGTGAGCAGTGTCGGGCAAAAATTGCACTTCATTTCTACCTAACTGTGAAGTTCTGTTAACCATTTACTGCAGTAACAAACACAACTGCATTTCAACAAATCCACCAATCATTTTGAGACAATTAAACAGGTCATTTCTTTCACTCAGGTTCATAAATTCCTGGATAAAAATCATGATCAACTGAGACCAGAAGTGATGGAACTGTTCATGGACAGCAGGAATAAGGTATGTGACAAAGAGCTTCACAATGAGTGGTGCCTGGAGCCTGATAGAGGAGTAAGGTGGAGAGTGGCTATTCTCAATCCTTGTCAGTGACTGGTCAGCATGATTTGAGCGAGAACGGAGAACATCGAGCTAGATAATGTTCTCAGTCATGGTGTCATAACGCTGATTGGAGGACTGGGATGGAAATAAAGCCCCACTATTCAACGAGCCATTACAATGGTGTCAAGAATCATCTGAACCACTAAATTGGTTAATTTGCTTGACATTGACCTTGTCTCAAATGAAAGAAACTCACACCAGGTTTCATCGATAAACAACATTAAAAATGTTTATGGTAAGCCAACTTATGCTTTAACAAATGACAAAATAGATTATTAACTATTACTATGCCAGCTTAAACTATATCCCATTTAAGTACCAATGCACACATTCATTCACAAATAGGACAGTCAAGACAGATAGACCTGCAGAAATATCATGGGTGGAAAATGCAGGTAAGAAAGGACAAATTCTGGAGACTAAAAATCTAAAAACCACAAGAGTGAAATGAGGTGTCTTTCTCATGATTCTCTTCATTTTTCACAATAATATCATTTTGTTGGCCCCACACCAGTCCTTAAATTGGTAGGCAGAAGTTGGACCTTAGCTTTTGGTTGAGTTAGAAGAGTTTCTTTTCAGAATCTTTGAGTACTCATAAAGGGTGAAGAAGAAAGAGAATGAGGCAGATATGACTTTACTTGCAGGCTTTTCAGAACTCCCCGTGCAAGTGCCTCTTCGCTGTCTTCTGTGATAAATTGCGACTTATGTATAAAAACTGACCCGAGGCAGTTTGTCAGCCCATAGGCACTTCATATCTCCTTGTCTTATTGAAGTATCAAATCTGGCTTTTCCAAAAGCTCCGTGTCCCGGTGTAACCAGTAAGTGAATACAGCACTATTCCAGCTTGACCTTTCAGTTAGAAGAAAACAATTAGTTCATCATTTGCAACACAGCAGCATCCAAACTTTCCTAGTTTGTACCCCAAAAAAAAGGCAGTCCTTCCAATAGATGGTGTCATTATTGTTCACAAAATAATGACTCATATTTATATCCTGTGTGAGCATAGTAATATAGAGTCAGAGAGTCATACAGCACGGAAATAGATTCTTTGGTCAAACCAGTCCATGCCGACCATAATCCCAAACTAAACTAGCCCCATCTGCCTGCTCTTGGCCCCTATCCCTCCAAATATTTCTTGTTCATGTACTCATCTAAATGCCTTTTAAAAGTTGTAATTGTACCCGCATCCACCACTTCCTCTGGAAGTTCATTCCACATACGAGCCCCCCACTGTAAAAAATTTACCCGTCATGTGTTTTTTAAATGTCTCTCTTCTCACCTTAAAAATATGCTCCCCCCTGCCCCCCAGGAAAAAGACACCTACCATTAACCCTATTTACTCCCCTCATTTTATAAACCTGTATAATGTCACCTCTCAATCTCCTAAGCTGCAGTGAAAAAAGTAACAGCATATCGAGCTCTCCTTATAACTCAAACCTTCCACACCCAGCAACATCCTGGTAATTCTCTTCTGAACCCGCTCCAGCTTAATAATACCCTTGCTAAAACTGGGTGACCAGAACTGGACATAATACTCCAGAAGAGGCCTCACTAATGCCCTGTACAACCTCAACATGACTTCCCAACTCCTATACTGAAGGACCGAGCAATGAAGGCAAGCATGCCAAACACCTTCTTAATCACCCTACCTATGCAAAGCAAACTTCAAAGGATTATGTACCTGAACACCTACGTCTCACTATTCTACAACACTGCCCAAGGCTCTCCTTTTAATTGTATAAGTCCTACCTTTGTTTGTTTTACCAAAATGTAATACCTCACATTTATCCAAATTTAACTCCATCTACTACTCTTCAGCACATTGACCCATTTGATCAAGATCCCTTTGTAATCTTAGAAAACCTTCTTCACTGTCTACTATGCCACCAATTTTGGTGTCATCCACAAACTTGCTAACCATGCCTTCTGTATTCTCATCCAAATCATTTATACAAATGACAAACAAAAGAGGACCCAGCATCGATCCCTGTGGAAGTCAGCTGCTCACAGGCCTCCAGTCCAAAAAACAACCCTCTGCCACTCTGTTCTGAGCAAGTGTCACTGGACTTGAAATGTTAACTCTGATTTTTCTTCACAGATGCTTCCAGACCTGCTGAGCTTTTCCGGCAACTTCTGTGTTTGAACCCTCCACCACAACTCTCTGTCTTCTGCTGTTAAGCCAATTTTGTATCCAGATGGCAAGCTCACCTTGAATCCCATATGATCTAAGTTCACTAATTAGTCTATCATGCAGAACCTTGTCAAAGGCTTTTCTAAAGTCTAGGTAAACAATGTCTACTGCTCTGCCTTCATCGATCATCTTAGTTACTTCTTCAAAAAACTCAGTCAAATTTGTGAGACACAATTTCCCTTGCAAGCTGCTTCCTAAGGGCATTCATAGACTCATTCAGCACCAGAAAAGGCCCTTCAGCTCATTGAATCTGCACTAACATAACCACCACTAAAAGTGCGATAATCCCAATTTTCTGCACTTGTCCCATACCGTCCCTTGAATGTTATGATCAAGAGGCCAGAATTGGAGGACTGCAGAGATCTCGGAGGTTTGTCAGGCTGGAGGTGGTTACACAAATAAGCAGGAGCAAGCAACAGAGGGATTTGAGAACAAGGTTAAGAGTTTTATATTTTAGTCATTGTTCAAGTGGGAGACAATCACAGGGGTAATGGGTGAACAGAATTTGGTCTGAGTTAGGATATGACACCAGGGTTTTGAAAGACCTCAAATTTATGGAATAGAAAGCAAGAGGCTAGCTAGGACAGCGTTAGAATAGTCAAATGCACATATAAGAAAAGCATGGATAAGTGTTTCAGAAGGCAGTGAGATAGGAATGATGTTACATGATACCGAGGTGGAAAGAGTGATGGAGTAGGTTTGCTGTCAATCTCTGGATTGATGGTAAGAAACAAAAGCTTAGCTCTTCCCAATATCTAACTGGAGGATGTTTCTGGGCACCCAGTGTTGTATAACTGCTTCAACATCTGAGTACGCAAACAAGCCAAGGATTAAATGACAAGCAGCCATAAGGATTCCAAGCTGCAGCAAGCTAGACTAAGGATGTGACCATACATTACAGTGAAACTGCGAGTTATCAGTTTAAGTAAATTTGCATGAGATTTTCAAGCATGTTGAACTTCTGCTGCTTCCCAGGCAGTCAGTCAAGTTGCCGTAGTTTTACCAGACCATAGGGCTGCTCTCTCATTAGAGACTGGTGGTGCTATACCAATATGAGAGTGGCAGTTTCTGGTTAGGGGTCACAACTCCCTACACATGATAGTGTCCTGACTTCTTAAAGTCCTACTGGAAGTTCCCAATATACTGACAGTGCCCTAGCCCTCCCAAAGTCCCACTGGAAACTCTCAGTATAATGACAGTGCCCTAACCTTCCTAATGTCTTACTGAAAACTCCCAATATACTGACAATGTCCTGACTCCCCTAATGTCCCACTGGAAACTTCCTATATACAGTGTCCTGGCTCTCTTAGTGTTCCACTGGAAACCCCCTAGATACTGATGGTGTCTGGACTCTGCTGATGTCCCTCTGCAGATGATCGCTGACCTATTTAAGAGAGCACAGCAGAGTCTGTGTCAGCAGTACCGGATTGGCTCGCGTTGTCGAGGACATCGACACCAGTCACCAACCGTGGCCACCAAATTTCGGCAAAGTCTCCTGGATCTGATCAGCAGACTGAAGAGGTGGGTAATGGTTGATGAAACAAACAGTAACTCTTGTCGCAGCATTGCTTTCTATCAAATCAGATTGAAATACACTAAGATGGATAAAGTCTGCAGAGTTGAGAAATGGTCGAGAGAACAGTAGAATATGGCTATTTATAGCAAGGAGGTTAAGGCTGAGTGGAGATGGAATTTAAAAATGATGAAAGATGAGACAATATAATAGGAAATCAGAACTTTTGAATGACGGAGGAGTCAAAGTATGGAGATATTCAAGTAAATTAAGAAATTTGAACATACAAACAAGGAACAAAAGGGAGTCATTCAGTCCTTTCAGCCTGTTCCACCATCCATTAAGATTACGGCTGATCTGATTTTAACTTCAACTCTACATTCCTGTCTATCCCCCAAGTATCTTCCATCTCCCTGGCCATCAAGAATCTATTTACCTCTACTTGAAAAATAATTAAAGCTTCTGCATCCACTGCCTTCTGAGGATAGAAATTCTAAAGACTCAACTCTCTGATAGAAAAAGTGTTTCCTCATCTATGTTTTAAATGGGTGGATCCTTATTCTTCTAACCTTCTAACTGGTTAAAGATTAAACAGCATCTTAGGTTTGTTTAATACATCCTCATCAGTTGTGTGACCCTTTGATCTTTTATTTATAAATTCTGTGTCTAATGCCACCTCTCTCACTGACATATGAAGAAGGAGTGAGGCTCCGAAAGCTTGTGTTTTCAAATAAACCTGTTGGACTGTAACCTGGTGTCGTGTGATTTCTGACCTTGTCCAACCCAGTTCAATCCCAGCATCTCCACATCCTTATTCTTAAATAATGACCTCTAGTTCTAGATTGTCCCACAAAGAGGAATTATCCTTTCAACATCCACCCAGTCACAACAACGCCTCTTCTTCCTCGAGCAGCTTAGGAAATTTGGCATGTCCATGAGGACCCTCACCAACTTTTATTAATACACCATAGAAAGCATTCTATCCAGGTACATAACAGCCAGGTATGGCAACTGCTCTGGCTGGGACCGTAAGAAACTACAGAAAGTTGTGGGCACTGCCCCAGACCACTGCGGAAGCCAACCTCCTGTCCATGGGATTCCATTTATACTTCGCGTTGCCACAGAAAGGCTGCTAACATCATCAAAGACCGCTCCTACTCTGTTAACGCTCTCTTCCAACCTCTTCCATCAGGCATAAGATACAGAAGCTTGAACACATGTACCAACAGGTTCAAGAACAGTTTTTTCCCTGCTGTTATTAGACCGCTGTGTGGGCTGCTCTAACTAATAATGATGATCTTGCCAATGTTGATCTTGCTTTGTGCACTTCCTGTGCAACCGTAACCTTGTATGATTCACTCTGTCTAAGCACCCTATGATCTATATGTCCTTGTTTGCTGTGATCTGCCTGTACTGCTGACAAAACAAAGCTTTTCACTGTACTTAGGTAGATGTGGCTACAATAAATCAAATCAAATCAAATCAATCAAGTCCCCTTACGATCTGAGACAACAAGATGTAGAGCTGGATGAACACAGTAGGCCAAGCAGCATCAGAGGAGCAGGAAAGCTGACGTTTCGGGTCTGGACCCTTGGGAAATGTCAGCTTTCCTGCTCCTCTGATGCTGCTTGGCCTGCTGCGTTCATCCAGCTCTACACCTTGTTGTCTCAGATTCTCCAGCATCGGCAGTTCCTACTATCTCTCCCCTCAGGATCTTCCATGTTTCAGTTAAGTCACCTTTGACTTTTCTAAACTCCAAAGGATACAGGTCTAGCCTATCTAACCTTTCTTTGAAAGGCAATCCACTCAGTTTAAGTATTACCTTCTCTGAGCTGCTTCCAAAGCTTTACCATTGTCCCATAATTCCAGCGACTAGTACTGTACACAGTATTCCAGTTGCAGCCTCACAAATGCTCTGTATAACTGAAGCATAATCTTGTATTCAACTCCCATTACAATTAAACACAACATTCTATTAGCTTTTCTGATAACTTGCTGTAGCAGTTGGGGTAGAGAGCAGGAGAAGTTGTTTTACTTAGAGGGGTTTGGAACATGGGAGGTATGACTGGAGTTAGTGACTGAAGCAGAGACCATGTTACTTTTTAAGAGTAGGTTGACAGGTAGTTGAAGGAATGGCAAGGCCGACAGACATAAAGGAACAGATTGGACAACTGGGACTTAGATGTTTGATTATGTCAATAGTATTTTCATCTACACCATCAATAACTTTCTCTCAAACATAAGTTTAGATGTGAGAGATGTTTGCTGATGAGTTCTGAGTGTCCAGTCCCACTGCAACTCCTCAGACAGTGAAGCAATCTGTATTCAAATGCCGTAAGGTGTGAACAACATTCAGGTTTGAGTTGAAGAGTGGAAAGTAACAATCACACCACAAAACTGGCAGGCAATGATTATTTTGAACAAGTGATAATCTAATTGTTTCCCCTTGTCAATCAACAGCACCCTCATCACTCTATATCATTCCCCTCTCACCACGATTAACAACCAGTGGTTACCTTTGACTGGAAATTAAAGCCATATAAATATTGTGTTGATAAGAGTGGATCAGGATCTGGGAATCCTGCGGTGAATAACTTGCCTTTTTGTTTACTATGTCTTTCCATCATCTACAAAACACAAGTCAGGAGTGTGATAGAATACTCTCAATTTGCCTGGATGAGTACAGCTCCAACAACACTTCAGAAGCTTGACACCATTCAGGACAAAGCAGCCCGCTTGATTGGTACCTTATCCACCACCTTCAACATTCACACCCTCTGCCGTTGACTCTCAGTGGGAGCTGTGTACCATCTATAAGATAAACTGCCAAGGCTCCTTTAACAGCACCTTCCAAACCCACAACCCCTACTACCTAAATGGACAAACATAAACATTGAAATTAAGAACATGAGTAGGAATTTTGGCCCTTTGATCCTGCTCTACCATTCAATATTATTCTGGCTGATCTTCTTTCTCAATGCCAAATTCCTGCTTTCTCTCCATACCACTTGATGACTTTAATATCTACAAAATTATCCATGTCTTTCTTGAATATATTCAGTAACCTGACCTCCACAGCCTTCTGTAGTAGTGAATTCCACAGGTTGACACTGTTTGGGTGAAGAAATGTTTCCTCTTTCAGTCCTAATTGGCCTACCTCATATCTGGATACTGTGACCTCTGGTTCTGTTCTCCCTTACCAGAGGAAAACATTGTCTCTGAAATTGTCTGTCCACTGTGGCAATATATCCTCTCTCAGGTAGGGAGACCAAAACTACACACAGTACACCAGGTGCAGTCTTACCAAGGCCCTGAATGACTGCAGTAAGACATCCCTACTTCTGAACTCAACCCCCGCTTGCAATGATGGACAAAATACCATTTACTTTCCTAATTGTTTGCTGCACTTGCTTATCTTTCATTGACTGACAAGGATATCCAGATCCCTTTGTACATCTATACTTCCCAATATATCACTTAAATAATATTCTGCTTTTCTGTTTTTCACACCAAAGTGTTTAACTTCATATCTAGCCATGTTGTACTGAATCTGCCCACTCACTCAACTTGTCTAATCATACTGAAGCCTCCTTACATCCTCCTTGCAACTCACAATCCCACCTGGTTCCTGTTATCAGAAAACTTGAAAATATTACATTTGATTCCCTCATCCAAGTCATTGTACACTGTGAATAGCTAGGGCTCATGTGACACTGATTCATGCAGTCATTAGCTGCTACTTGTAAAAAGACCCTTTTAGGCCACTTTCTGTTCACTGTCTATCAACCTATTCTCAATTTGTGCCAGTTTATTACTTACAATCCATGTGCTTTACTTTTGTTCATTAACCTCTTATGTAGGATCTCATCAAAAACCTTCTTGGAACCAAATACACCACTTCCACTGGTTTTCCATTATTTTTTCTACCAGTTACATCCTCAGAATACTCCAGAAGATCAGTTAAGCATGACTTCCCTTTCATATACCTATGCTTACTCTGTCTGATCCCATAAATGCTTTCCAAATGTTCTTTTACCATGTCTTTTATATTAGACTCCAGCACATTCTCCACCCTTGATGTGAAGCTAATTGGTTTGTAATTCTGAGATAGTAGGAACTGCCGATGCTGGAGAATCTGAGATAACAAGGTGTAGAGCTGGACGAACACAGCAAGCCAAGCAGCATCAGAGGAGCAGGAAAGCTGACGTTTCGGGTGTAGACCCTTCTTCCCGAAACATCAGCTTTCCTGCTCCTCTGATGCTGCTTGGCCTGCTGTGTTCATCTAGCTCTACACCTTGTTATCACTTGGTTTGTAATTCTGCCTTTTTCTATCTGATGTTTTAAATAGTGGGGTTACATCTGGAATCCAATCTGTAGAAACTGCTGCAGAGTCTATAGAATCCATAACAGACAATAGCAACAGAGGCATGGGAACACCATCACTGAAAATTTCTTTCTAAACCATCCTGAGCTGGAACTATATCATCATTCTTTTAGTGTTGCTGGATCAAAATCCTGGAACTCCCTCCCAAACTATAGATGTAACTACACTAATTACTGCAAAGAATGCAGCTTTCCCTCACCTTCTCTAGGGCAATAAAAGAAGATAATAAATGTTGTTCCTGACCAGCAAAGGTCTCCTCAGTTATCAGACAAAAAATAAAGAATAAGCATCAACCCAAATTATTTGGATGATTATTATCGCTAGACTGATAAATCAAATTATACAGGAAATGATCTGGGGTCCCGTGATACCCTTCTCAGTTGAGGTGAGCAAGCCAACTTCTCTCAGATTCCTCCTCAGTCACTCTCAAACTGCCCTCTACTCAATGCTCTTCCTCCTACAGAGCACCATTGCATTATCATTGCATTTTCACCTTGTGAGCTGATGGAAGAGTACTCATGGATAGACATGAAGCATTGATTATAAATTATAGCACAGTGTAGATAGAGTGAGCTTCACATTGAATCAAGCCCCATGCTCTGCCTGACCTGGGAATGCTTGATGGGATCAATGTGGAGGCAGCTTTGCTCTGTATCTAACTCTGTTCTGTACCAGTCCTGGGAGTATTTGATGGTGACAGTGAAGAGGGAACTGTACTCTGTGCCTAACCTTGTGCTGTACCTACCAACCTGTCCCGAGTCAAAGTCCATCCTTGCATTAACATCAAGAGACAGATCCACCCAAATGTGGAAAATTGCCCTCACCTGGGAAGCTACCTGTCACCTAAGGCTGACGTCAGTATGGAGATTCAACTCCACATCCAATCTGTGTACACTGCTTTTGGCCACCTAACGATGAGAATCTTTGATGGCCATGTCATCTGCGTTGATACAAGATCCTTGTGTATAAGGTGGTCATCCTTCTGACTTTATCATATGGCTCCACAACTTGGGCTATGCATAGATACCACCTTAAGACTCTGCAGGAGTACCATCAATGCTGTTTAAGATAGATTCTCCTCATCAGCTGGGAGGACAGGCATACTAACATCGGTGTCCTCAAAGCAGTGAACAACACCAGCTCGAGGCCATGATTATCCAAAATCCATTATGCTAGGCTGGCCACATGTGTAGGCTGTCTGAGTTCTAAGTGTCAAAGCAAATCATCTTCATCCAGCTCAAGGAAGGCACTCGAATAAGAGGAAGACAAAGGAAGTGTTTCAAGGACTCACTGAAAGCTTCCATCAAGAAATGCATCATAGATGTCAATGCTTGGGCCCCCCTGTTTAGAAGAAACTGGCTTGGAGGAAACTCCTGTAGGAATACAATTCTTTTGAGCCCACCCATCAGTAAGAGAAGTATGGAAAAGGAACTGGAGAAAGGAATGCCAACAATCTCGAGGCCAAGGACCAATCCCACCTCCCAGAAACACCTGCCAAATGTGTGGTTGGAAATGTGACTCTAGGATTGGGCTCATCAGCCACACAATGACCCACATAACTCATGACCTGTGACATGGAATTTCCTAGGTGGACAATCATACTCATTAGCGAGTATTTGCTGATGAACACTGACCTGTCCTGGGAGTGTTTGATAGGGTACAGAGTAGAGGGAGTTTTGCGGTGAATCTTTTGGTGCTCCAGTGGTGGCTTGAGTTCCTGTCATGTATCTGCGAGGTTGAGAGCTGCTGTTCGGAAGGGTGGTCACATCACAGGTTCAGAAAATGGATGTAGAAAGGGAATGGTTGAATGCCAGGCAATCCAGGAGAATGAGGCAGGTAGATCAGGAATGTCCTGAGATCCTGTGTGTTAGTTGGTTTTCTATTTTGGATGCAGATGATGGCACTCTTTCCCTGGCAGATTGCTTGTACAATCCAAGCTCTTGGTACAATAGGCAGCTCAGCTGCACAGGAAGGGAAGAAGAGGAGGGGAAAAGGGAATTCACAGGCATTTTGGAGATGTTGGCTTAACTCCAGAAATGGTGTGTAGCCTCCCTGGTGCCTGCGTGATGCATGTCATGAGCAGCTTCTGATGCTTCTCAGGGCAGCCAGAGGTTGTGGTCATTCATTTCTACATCAGTACTATTGAGATAGGTGCTAAGGGGATTGAGTTCTGAAAAACAACAGGGAGCTGAAAAGGAGATTCACAAACAGGGTCTTCATAGCAGCATTCACAGGGTTATTCCCAGTCCCGTGTGCCTGTGAGCAGAGAACTAAGAGAATTGAGTGATTGAACATGCAGCTAGAAAGCTGGTCCAGTGGAGAGGGAGGGCTTCAGATTTCTGAGGCATTGGGACTGGTCAGGGACATGCACAAATTGAACTAGTTGCATCTTATTAGGAACAGGACGAACATCCTTATGGGAAGATTTGATAATATTGTTGGAGAAGGTTTAACCTAGATTGGTAGGGTGAATGGAACCGAGAGGGAGCTGGCTTCACAGGAATCATAGCAGGTAAAGCAAAGTAGAAAGCAAAAGCAGAAGACATTTGAAGCATGGGCAAGCACCATATTAGATCAGAACAGAACAATGTGGAAAGGGAGAAATAAAATGAATATAGCATTCGCACAAAGGTTCACAGTATGATTGCACAGATCTATATCCAAGAATATTCAGCATTTAGGAGAGATAGGCAGAAAAGAATAAGAGATGGGATAGCATTCTTGAGTGTTTGCAGGTACAGTGTAGTGGGAGCAATCAAACAATCCTTACCCAGTACCATGTAATGCTACACTTGGCAAATATCATAAGATTACAAGAATGATCCTCTTGGAAAATGCCACAATAGTATGGATACATTGAAGTTTTTTAAAATTCATTCATGGGGCCTGAATGTCATCGCTGTTGCAGTTTATTGCACTTTCCTAACTGCCCTGAGTAAGGCAATGATGTTGTCTTCTTGAACTGTCTTCTTCAACTTTGATTCCCTGCAGAGACTGGACAATTTTTCCACAATGCCAGTGTTGTAACTGCACTGGAACAGCTTGGCTGGGTGCAGCTAGTTATGAAGCACAAGTTATTAGACAGAAACAGGCTATTCATCCCAACCAGGCCATGACAACATTTATGTGAGCAAATAATATGTCGGACAAACAGGAAGGAAATTAACCACAAAGGTACACGACCTTCAATTGGCTACAAAAAGACACGACCAATACTCACTCATCTCTATCCACATGGATAAGGAGAACCACCAATTCGACTGGAACAACACCAAGATCCTGGGACAAGCAAAGCAGAGACAAGCATGGGAGTTCCTAGAAGCCTGGTACTCCACGAAGAAAGCCATCAATAAACATATAGAGCTCGACCCCAAATACACTCCACTATGAAGGAAACCGAAAATGAGGCAATCCAGCTCAACGGACTCCAGAGTTTAAATAACAGGCAGGAAAACACAACATGCCTTCTAGGTGGATGAGGTGATGGATTTGGAAGAAGTTATCAAAGGAACTTTATTAAATTAATGCAGCACATCTTGTAGATGGTATACACTGCTGCCATTGTGCATCATTGGGGAAGGGAGTGAATGTTTGTGGATGTGATGCCAATCAAACAGGCTGCTTTGTGTTGGTTGGTATCAAGTTTCTTGAGTGTTGGAGCTGCACCAACCCAGGCAAGTGGGGAGTATTCCATCGCACTCCTGACTTGTGTCTTGTTAGATAGTGGACACGATTTGAGGAATCAGGAGGCAAATTACTCGCTGTAGGATTGCTAGCCTTTGACATGCTCTTGTCTCCTTCTATATGGCAAGTCCAGTTCAGTTTCCAGTCAATGGTAACCTCTAAGATGTTAATAGTGAGGAATTCAGCGATGGTAATGCCATTGATTGACAATGGGTGATGTTTAGATTCTCTCTTGTTGGAGTTGGCTCTTGCTAGGCACTTGTGTGGCACAAACATTACTTGTCACTTATGAACCTAAGCTGGAATGTCACACAGATCTTGCTGCAATTGAATGTAGACGAGCTCATTATCTGAGGACTTATGAATGTTGCTGAACATTGTGCAAACTTTAATGTACATCCCCACTTCTGATCTTACAGTAGAGGAAAGGCTACTGACGAAGTCTATTGATTGGGCCTAGGATACTAATCTGAGGACACAGATGACCTGGGCTAAGATGATTGACTTCCAATAACCACAGCCATCTTCCTTTGTATTAGGTATGACACCAACCAGAGGAGAGATTTCCCCCTTGACTCCATTGACTCCAGTTTTGCTCGGGCTCCTTGATCCACGCTTGGTCGGACGTGGATTTGATGTTAAGGGCAACCACTCCCACCCTCATCTCTGGAGTTCAGTTTGCTCTTTTGTGCCGAGGCTGTAATGAGGTCAGGAGCTGATGGCCGTGGTGGAACTTGAATGAGCATCAATGGGCAGGCTGTTCCTTTGCAAGTGCCGTTTGATAGCACTAATGATGACTCCTTCTATCACTTTGCAGATGGTCAACAGTCAACTAATAAAGTGGGAGTTGGCTGGAGTGGATTTGTGCTGCTTTTTGTAGATAGGGCATCACTGGACAATTTTTCCACAATGCCAGTGTTGTAACTGCACTGGAACAGCTTGGCTGGGTGCAGCTAGTTATGAAGCACAAGTTATTAGACAGAAACAGGCTATTCATCCCAACCAGACCATGACAACATTTATGTGAGCAAATAATATTTAACTATAATGTTCTGATATTCCTTTGTAAACTTTTTCCTTTGTGTATCTATACAATCAAACCTTGAATTATATCATTACAACTGACCTGACCATTAACCTTGGAAGTGAATTTCAGAGTTCTCAGTTATCAACAATCTCCTCCTGTCCTTTCTGCCTTACAAGTTTGTGAAATTCCAGGAAAATGTTTCAATTTTGATTTTTCTTTCATTTTCCAGGTGTAACCCATTTTTCATTCGATGCATTAAGCCCAACATTAAAAAGGTATGACATTTCTTTCCCATAGCTAAGTTGGGCTGTTTAATGCTAGATTACTGATTCAAACAATGTTCTTTGAGAGAGCAGTTCAAGTTTTCCTTTCTTGTACATTAGTGTTGCATAGTTGCATATGTTTAAATATTGGCTGCACATTTTGAGGGCAAAACAACCAGTGGCTTTACAATTACAGCCACAGTGCAAATAACAAAGTACATTCTCTGAGGATAAGGTTCAAATTCTGGGTGTGGCCTGCTCTTCAGAGGCAGGTTTGTACATGACTAAACACAGTGTTGATTTGTTTGATATTGTAGAATGTAACAAGTTCCAATCAGATGGTAGACCAGCGTGCAACCTGTACATGCGTGAATTTTTGTAATATGCAATGAGCTGGAGTGAAGCCAGATTGCAGCTAAAATGAAGATTCCCAAACCTTCTTGACCAATTCCTTTTGGAAAGTTACTATTGAATCAACTTCTAAATCTTCCCAGCATTGCATTCCAGATTATAAATGCTCAATGTACCAAAAAATCAATTGCTTCCCACTGGTTCATTTAGCAATTACCTTGCATCTGTCTTGTTTAGTTCCTGACCCTCCTTAACCAGTGGAAACAAATTCTCCCTATTTATCCTTTCAAACCTCTGCAGTATTCTCTGCACCTTGTGGTCCAGTATTTTGAATGTTCACTTTTCAAAGAAGTTTCTTTAATGTTGCCACAACATTGGCTTTCCCATTCCTAGTGTCATTCCTGTAAATCTCTGCACTTTCAACAAGGCCTTGATGATCTCACTGTTAATTATTTCTCAATCAGTCTTGGAAAGCTAGCTTATCAATTAAGTTTGATCCAGAAGAGACTCTCCAGACACTAGTGTGTGTTTTTGACTTCAAATTCTCTTGACTGTTAAACACAGATGCATTATAATTGTTCCTATTAATGCATTTTTAAAAAATCAACCTGTTTAGATATGTTATGACTCACCTTTGAAACATGTAGGGACTTGAATTTGGCCTCCTGGCTCAGAGGTGGGGACATAATCACCGTACCATAAGATACTCCTGTTTTTATTTGTGTTATTTCCAAATTTCATTACTGTTCAGGTATTTATCGTTTGTTGTGTTGATATTTGAACATTGATCACCATGAAGTTATATTCAGAGCTGTTCACCAGGCTGACCAAAGGTCAGATAATTTTAGGTTGTTAACTTTGCTTAACAGTGTTTGCATCTTTCTGCATTGCTAATTCATAATGCAATTCTATCTAACATCATTCAATTAATAACATCACATGACAGTTATGGATGAGGTCACTCAACCCACCTTTGTTCCTCTTGTTATGGTAAACAAATCTTGCTGCATGCAGTATCACCTCCAATCCACCAGCTCAGCTTTCAGTTAACTGAGGAAAGGACTAATTAAGGACTAGGACCTCAAGCCCCAAGACTATGGTTATGGTTTCCTGGGCAGCAGCGATTCTCATTCCCTCCTACATATATAGACATGGACAACCTACAGAGTGCTGGAGAAGTGCCAGCTGAGCTGCTGTCACAAGATCCTCCAAATCCAGTGGTAAGGGAAGCTGTACAATGGCAGCACCCTTTCCCAAGTCAACATTGAGGTGCTAATCACTCAAAACCAGTTCCACCGGACGGGACTTATGTTTGCATCCCTGACACCAAACTCTCAAAGCAATCTCTGAAGTCTGAACTCAGTCACATCAGGAGACTCCCAGGAGGACAGTGAATGCATTTGAAAGATGTCTTCAAAGCCTTCTTGAAGAGACAAAACATCCCCATATATTCGTGGGAAGTCTTGGCTTTTGACTGACTAAAATGGAGCAGGCTCATCAGGAAGCACCGAACACGTTGAGAAAGTTCTTCAGGAATGTGCAGAGGTGATATCAAGGCATCAGAAGGAATGCACACCTTCCAAACATTCCATCTGCTTGACCCTCAGCACAGCCAGCCCTGTGTGTGACAGAGCCTGCAGATTGCAGAATGGATTTACCATTCGTCCCAGTGAACTGGAGCAGAAGCAGGTCACCCCCAATCCTGAGGGACTATCTTTGAAGAATGAGGAGGGCAATCATTATTTTCAGAAATGATCAATCCTTACAACCTTTCACATAAAGCACTCATGCAGCAGAAGGGACATGGTCAATACCTGGTAGTGGTACCATGGCCATTAGAGTAGGGTTTGTGATTAATGATGGTTGAAGAAGGACTCTGAAATTCTTAGCCAGTAGTTTGAAATTATCAGATTCTGGAGTGTCTCCTATTTGGATAGTCAGGTCAGTTTCCTGACTGAAACACATTAACACATTGATATGTTTGTCCATTCCATTCCGGCACAATTAGCAGTCTGTTCAGACAAACTGTAAGCTTTGTATTCCCTGGTATTCTTCTTCCCAAATTGTCAATGGTGAGAGTTGTCAATATTCTCCAGTGACATTGCATAGAATTTCATAGAATCTGTAATAACAGGCTATTCCTCCCATCTGACCTGTGCTGGTATCTAGACTGTACACTAATCTCTTCCCACCCTGCCTCCATGTCTCTCTATTCCCTTCTACCTCAGGTGTCAAGTATCAATATTAGTGTGTAATTTGGAAGATCTTTGGGCCAAGTCAGAACTTTTTATTACATGTCTGAGTTTTAAAGAACAAACAACTGAGATATTGGATAAGTCCTGTGTGCACAGAGTAATTCACTTTAATGAACATCCAGTTCCTCCCCAGGTGACATACATTGACAGTGTGGTGCAACTAGAATCCTGAGGATCAATGTGCAGGCAATAGGGGAGCGTGGTGATAGTTCGCAATGGGGCTAGTACATTTTTCATGCTGTTTTCGAATTTGATTTCATTGATCCTTTCATGGCTTCTCATGACAGATCCCTGGCCAGTTTGATGTAGAGTGTGTTGGTGCCCAACTCAGATACTCTGGGATCATGGAGGCAGTCCACATTCGAAAGGAAGGTTATCCTGTCAGAATTCTCCTGCCGGATTTTATCAGCAGGTATAGTTGTACATCTTATGCTGCTTGCACTAGTGTTGACCCTAGCAGAGTCAGGTGGTGGCATGGCTGAGTGAATGATTTACAAAGAAAGATGCAGCATAGGAACAGGCCCTTCAGCCCACCAAGAGCACTGACACACAATGACTTTCTAAACTTTATAGGGTACAGGAAGTCAGAGGGATCTTTGTGACCAAGGATAATCTTTTGCTTTAAAATCTTCCATAAAATGGTCCTGTTGTCATGTTCCTAAGAACAGTTTATTGATCACCACTGGCAATCCAACTTTAAGGACCATACTCCCATTGCTCATGTAGCCCTGCTTCAAAGTTGTCCTTGTAAAAATTAACTAGAGGTAGATAACACCATGTCACCATTCCAGCCCTTCTGATGACATTAGGGTGAGAGGGATTGGCTTCAAGGAGTGAATCTACCCTGATCTCATCAGAAAATCACCATGTTGGCAGGGACTGGATCCCAAATCTCTTACCATTCTTCCAATCTCCTTCTCTCCATTTGTCTTTCACTTTCAGGTGAAGAAATTTTCCAATTTACAGTGAACTTCTAATGCTTGATAGAGCCAAGAGACTGCTAAAAGGAACAAAGAGATAGAACAAACGAACACAATGAAGAATTCAACTGTATATACATACAGTGCCTTTTCACGTCCTCAGCATAATCCAAGCTGTCCCCAGTAACCTTTTTATGTAGTGACTGTCACGGTAACACTATATATCACGGCCTACAAAGAACAAATGATATGTTGAATTAGGTAGTGTTTTTGGTCATGTTGATTGTTTGGTGAATATTTGTCAAGCCATGATGAAACTCCCCACTCTTTATCTTTCACAAACCAATGTAATGTCTTCTCAATATTTATATTCTGCACTCCTTCTGATATTACCAACCTGCCATTTTGCTCGTTTTAATTTCATTTATGCAGTTTAGTTCTGCGTGGAACTTTTGTTCATTGAAATTTCACAGTAATTACCCAAATACAGTGTCTTACCATTTGTTATATTTTGTGCCTAAAATGTTAGGCTTAATTTGCCATGCCTTTCTCTACTCAATCTGGTTTTGCAATTTTCTGTTTGCTTGTTTAGCGTCATCTTTTTCTAAATTAATTGATGAGACGCAGGCACTCCTGGCTGGGCCAGCACTTACTGCATATCCCGAGTTGCCTTTGGTGATGGTGCACTGCCTTCTTTAACCCTCACTGCAGTCCATTTGGTGTAGGTATACCCACAGTCTTGTTAGGGAGAAACTTCAAGGATTTTCATCCAGCGACAGTGAAGGAATAGAGATATATTTCTGAGTTAGGATGGTGAATGGAGAACTTGCGTCCTCTTCCATCACTGATATTCTCTGCTTATGCGCTGTTTAAATAATTAAGAATCTGACCACTAAAGGTGTGGTATCTGACAGCATCATTATGTGGTTAGGGTTATTTACTTCTACATACAAAGGGGCTATTTAACAATATTAGAATTAGAATTAAGTTCATTGTCACATGTTCTGACATGAGTACAGTGACAAGTTTACAAGTCACCACTTATGGCACCATCTTAGGTACAAAGGTACCCCGGTACAGATTCTTAACTGCAAAGCAGAAAAATTTTTAAAAAGTTGAAAAAGTTAACCATTGCAGTCCTTACTGAAAAGTAGAAAAACAAAGAGACACAGTTAAAAATTTGCACTACAGTCCATAGCGCCTAGCTATGCTGGGCCAGCACTCCTCATGAGGACTCATCCCTGCCACCACCCCGGGGCTACCTGCTCCCTCTCACTGCCACCTACCCTGATGCTGCCTGTTCCTGCTCCTGCCACCACCCCGGGGCTGCCTGCTCCCTCTCTCACTGTCAGCACCACCCTGAGGCTTCCTGCTTCCTCTCTCACTGCCAGCACCACCCTGAGGCTGCCTGCTTCCTCTCTCACTGCCAACCACCCTGAGGCTGCCTGCTTCCTCTCTCACTGCCAACCACCCTGAGGCTGCCTGCTCCCTCTCTCACTGCCAGCACCACCCTGAGGCTGCCTGCTTCCTCTCTCACTGCCACCTACCCTGAGACTGCCTGCTCCCTCTCTCACTGCCACCACCCTGAGGCTGCCTGCTTCCTCTCTCACTGCCAGCACCACCCTGAGGCTGCCTGCTCCCACTCTCACTGCTGGCACCACCCTGAGGCTGCCTGCTCCCTCTCTTTAAAGGAAAGACAGGACTTTCTGAAATTTTCTGAAGAAGGGTCTAGGCCCGAAATGTCAGCTTTCCTGCTCCTATGATGCTGCTTGGCCTGCTGTGTTCATCCAGCTCTATACCTTGTTATCTCAGGAATTAGAATTTGCTGGACCTGGTGTGGGAGAATGATTGGGACAAGTGTATTATCTTTGTTGGGGAACACTTGGGTAAAAGTAATCATCACATGATAAGGTTTAGATTAGTAATTGTGAAAAGCAAGGAACAACATGAAGGGAATGTCTCATTGGAAGAGGGCTAATTTCAATGTGATAAGAAGGGCTCTTGATAAATAGTAAAATGGAACCAAAGACTGACAGGAAGAACTGTAATAAAACAATACATGATCTTTAAGGAAAAGAAACTTCAGAGATAAGCAAGTTTCATCAAGGAGCAATGATAGGAAAACCAAAAACCGGGCTTTTTGCATGATGAGGGAGATGGAGAATAGAGATTCCAATGAAACAGAAAAAGATACAAAAACAAAGTTGCTGGAAAAGTTCAGCAGGTCTGGCAGCATCTGTGAAGGAAAAAACAGAGTTAACGTTTTGGGTTCGGTGACCCTTTCTCAGAACTGTTCTGAGGAAGGGTCACCGAACCCGAAATGCTAAC